CATTTCTCCGATCACAAATGCAGACATGGTTTTATGTTTACGCGGCGCGATGCAATGCAACGCGTAAAAAAACAGTATAAGTCATTATAATCCGTAATTATGTCCCCACTGGATGCAACAAATGCCTCGTTTATAATGGGTTTATTAATGTTTTTGTCTCGTCGCTCCGGCCGGGACAAGGCATCACAATATGGCAAGGGGCGTAACATTTCCTTCACACGCTTGAGGTATTCGGCCAATCACAACGCACTGGATAGCTGGCCAATCAGAGCACCTCGCTTTTCAGACCGATGAGCTTTGTAAAAATCGACGCATTTCAGAAAGGCGGAGCAACGAGGAGAAACAATAATGTACAGTATGTGGAAAATAATGTGTTTTTTTACCTTAAACCGCATAAACACATTTCATTAAATACACAAAATAATGTTCTTTTTAGCAACATCATATGACCCCCTTTAATAATATATAGATTTCTTTTTTATCTTATTGCCTATATAATTACTTTTAGATAGATAGATAGATAGATAGATAGATAGATTTGGGACCTATCCTTGTAATGCTATGAAAACTGTGCAGGTAGCTCTGTAACAGTAATTAATGGTACCACCTAGATTTTATTTTGGAAGATAAGTTTTTATTGCTGCTCAGGCATTCTTTCATTTTATTGAATTAGAAGGAATTGATGCTTCAAGGATGAAGCATTTTGATAAGTCACTTGGCTGATGATACAGCTCTTTTTTAATTAACAAATTGTTTTGCAGTTTTCTTTCACTATATGTATTTATGTATTTATGTATATATATATATATATATGTTTTTATCATTTTTATTTTTAAACCCTTGGTTGTTATAGTATGCAATTGTTATTCAAGTGTTCAAAAAATAAAGTCCTGCTGTCACTAATTGTATACCTTAAAATTTCACCTTTGATAATAAAAATGTATATTTAAACATTTTTTATGAGCATGCAAAGATTTCTAAGATGTGGCATCTCTGCTGGATCGCGGCTAGCCCCTACATCAAAGCCATAAAAAATGTCGGAACCTTCTGGCTTGTCTGTTGTGGGTGATGAGAGCTTCCTGAGATTTGCTTTTAAAGGTGTGGCTTATCAGTTCAGAGTCTTTCTCTTCTGTGTTTCTCTAGCTCTGTGCACATTCAGAAAGTGTATGAAGGCTGTTCTCTCCCCTCTACATTCAAGTGGAGCGCATGTTTTGAATTATCTAGATGATTGGCTGCTCTTGGTTCATTCAGAGAGCACGCTGAGCAGCCACAAATGTTTGCTCATCAACCAACTTCAGTGTTTGGAGCTTACTATTTTTTCAAAAAAGCAGTCTCCAACCCATTCAGCATATCCCATTCCTGGGTGTGAGTCTCAACTATGTATCCATGCAAACACGCCTGTTACCGGAGCACTCATAAGCTATCATGGACTTGCTCGCAGTGTATAAGAGAGGAAAATCCCTCTCCCTAAAGAGCTTTCAGATAGTGATGGCGGCAGCCTCAGTGGTGGGCTTGCTTTACATGCCGCCATTTCAAATCTGTTTGAAAGCTTGTGTCCCTTCTTACGCTTGGCACTCAGGTATGATGCACGTTCTAGTGTGAATGCCTAGAGGCAATAGACCTCTGGTGGTGTACAGCTCTATACGAGCGAGGTGTCATGGGGGAAGGTATGTAGACACAAAGCAGTCAAAGTAGGGAGCTATTGCTTCTAGCCACACATGAGTCATTAGGACACGCATCATACCTAGTCATTCTCATTTGCTTCAAAAACATGGCAGTAGTGGCAAATATAAAACATCAGGGCGGTATCAATTCATGGCCACTGCTGAGACTCACAAGGATCCCCACATTCCCAGCAGTCTGAATTGCAGGGTGGAAATGCCGTCAAGGCAAAGGGCAGTCACCAGAGAATGAAGACTGCACCCTCAGACAATGAATATGATATGGAGCATATTCGGTCCAGCAGATCGGATTTCTTTGCATTAGCAGAGAATACGCATTGCCCGTTGTTTTTCTCCCTACTGGAGTGTTCCACTCTGGGAGTGGATTGACTGGATCACCACTGGCCGAATATGCAAATATGCATTTCTACCTGTGAAGGTCTTGCATCAGGTCTTGTGCAAAATCAGTGCGATGGAGGAATCAGTGCTGTTAGCTGCGACGATAAGGGCCATGCAGCCGTGGTTTCTGGACATGCTAAAAATGCTGATGGCACCCCTGTTCACGGTGCATCCCGTTGAGTAGGGAGGCTCAATCTGGCATCCCAATTCAGAATTAAGGAATGTCTGGCCAATCAGTGGAGCTCTACGGCATTTGTTACACTGCCACACACGCACGTTAAACACAATTGCTGAAACAAGAGTCCCCTCTACTAGGCAACTCTATGCTCAGAAGTGGAAGGTCTTTGAGAGCTTGTACAGCTCAAGGAATGAGGACCCTTTGAACTTTTGGACCCTTGTTCTCAAACCAAGAAACACACAAAAGGGCGCACCAAAGTCTTACTGGTATCAAAGCAAAGGCTATCCTATTGGATTGTGAATGTGATAGTTCTGGATTACAGTTCACAGAATGTGTAATGCCCTGTAAGTGTTCGAGCCCCCTCTACAAGGCTTCTTCATGGGCATGGGTGAGTGGAATGTCTATTGAAGACATCTGCTTAGCAGCAGTATGGGCTTCTTCAAACACTTTTGCCAGATTTTATAATCTGGATGTTTGCTAGCTTCTTGGATCCTGTCAGTACAGGAAAGCTAGTTTAATGGTATAACTACTGCCAGCAGCAGCCTTTTCATTTATTTGCTATAATTATCGCTTGCATTGTGCCTTCAGTGGAGGGTTTGGCTCCACCCTATCTCTTGGCTGTGATGTTACAACTAGGTATCATGAGGTATGTGCAGCTTTTGCAACTTGTTTGCCGTTTTACTCACAGTAACAAGTCAAGTCAAGTCACCTTTATTTATATAGCGCTTTTAACAATACAGATTGTGTCAAAGCAACTGTACAGCATTAAATACGAAAATAGTTTGTTAATAATGCAAAATGACAATAGCAAATACTCAATTTTCAGTTAAAGGCTGTTCATCATTGAATTCAGTGATGTCATCATCCAGCTCAGTTCAGTTTAAATAGTATCTGTGCAATCAAGTCGACGATATCGCTGGAAATTAAGTGTCCCCAACTAAGCAAGCCAGAGGCGACAGCAGCAAGGAACCAAAACTCCATTGGTGACAGAATGGAGAAAAAACCTTGGGAGAAACCAGGCTCAGTCGGGGGGCCAGTTCTCCTCTGGCCAGATGAAACCAGCAGTTCAATTCCAGGCTGCAGCAAAGTCACATTGTGCAGAGGACTCAACTGGTTGCTGTGGTCTTGTCCCGGTGGCCGTCTAGGAGAGGGGATCTGTCTCTGGGGCTCATCTAGTTGTTCTGGTCTCCGCTGACATTCAGGGCTGTCGAGGTCATCTCTAGGTGCTGATCCACCATCTGGGCTGGATACGGACTGGATCCGGGTGACTGCAGTGACCATCTGATCTGGATATAGACTGGATCTGGTGGCTATAATGACCTCGGAATAAGAAAGAAACAGACTAATAAGCGTAGATGCCATTCTTCTAATGATGTAGCAAGTACATCGGGTGTTATGGGAAGTGTTCCCGGTTCTCAGC